GTGTGTTTTTTTTTGTTTTTTTTTTTTTTTTTAGGGTTTAGCAGGGCGCGCTGGGCGCTGGGCAGCAGGGCGCGCTGGCGCACTGGGCAGCGGGGCGCGCTGGCGCGCTAGGCAGCGGGGTGCGCTGGCGTGCTAGGCAGCGGGGCGCACTGGCGCGCTGGGCAGCGGGGCGCGCTGGCGCGCTGGGCAGCGGGACGCGCTGGCGCGCTGGGCAGCGGGGCGCGCTGGGCTGCAGGGGCGGCGTGCGGGCTGTAGGGGCGACGCGAGAGCTGCAGTGGCGACGCGCGGGCTGCAGGGGCGGCGCGCAGGCTGTAGAGGGCGACGCGCGGGCTGCAGGGGCGGCGCGCGGGCTGCAGGGGCGGCGCGCGGGCTGCAGGGGCGGCACGACAGGGGGCAGGGCAGGGCGTGCGCGGGGCAGCGCGACGCGGAGCAGGGCAGGGCTTGCGCGGGGCAGCGCGACGCGGGGCAGGGCAGGGCGTGCGCGGGCAGCGCGACGCAGGGCAGGGCGTGCGCAGGGCGGCGCGACGCGGGGCAGGGCAGGGCGTGCGCGGGAAGCGCGACGCAGGGCAGGGCGTGCGCGGGGCGGCGCAACGCAGGGCAGGGCAGAGCGCTCGCTAGGCAGCGCAACGCAGGGCAGGGCAAGGCGGCGCGGCAGCCAGCAGGGCGGCGCGCGGGCACGGTAACGCGACTGGTGGGGCAGCGCGACGGACACGGTAGGGCGCTACGGGCAGGGTAACGCGCTACGGGCAGGAAACGATTCGGTGGGCCCTAAAACAACGGTCCTAGGTCAGGACCTGCTCTGAAACCATGTCAGAATCAATAAGCGAGAATGAATGAACTAGCAGCAAGATGGGTACAAGTAGCAAACCCTAATTGAGTTGTACCCCATATGTGCTAGCCCACTATAGCCTACACAATAAGCAGCATATAAGTTTGACATTAGACCTCTGTATCGCCTCAGTCCAGCTGAGTACGTGGAGGCTAAAGAACAGATTGAGGAATATCTCTGGAAGAGATGGATTGAACCAAGCGCATCACCTTACGGAGCGGCGATCTTGTTCGTGAACAAAAAGGGCAGAGGGTTACGCATGTGCGTAGACTACCGTGCTCTGAACAAGATAACGGTGAAGAACAGGTATCCCCTACCAAGGATAGAGGACCTGTTCGACAAACTCCAGGGTGCCCAGTGGTTTAGCGCATTGGACCTCGCGCGCAGGGGTATCACCAATTGCGTATCACTGAAGAAGATGTACCCAAAACGGCTTTTCGACCACCGTTTGGTCATTTTCAGCGGCGAGTGCTGAGCTTTGGCTTAACCAATGCTCCTGCCTCTTTTTAGAGGGCTATGAATTATGTCTTTCGTGAGGCAATTGGACAGTTCGTCCTAGTCTATCTGGATGACATCTTGGTTTATTCCAAGACGGAAGAGGAGCACACGCGACACCTTAAGTGGGTGTTAGGGAAACTCCAAGAGCATAAGTTCTATGCTCGTCTGTGGAAATGTCATTTTTACAAACGCGAGTTGGAATATCTTGGCCATCTCGTGGGAAGCGACGGTCTCAAGGTAGACCCGAAGAAAGTTGTCGCAGTCCAGAATTGGCCGGTTCCACAAGACGTGGGTCAAATCAGGTCGTTTTTGGGACTGGCGAACTATTTTCGTCGATTCTTGCAGAATTATTCTACCATTGTTGCTCCATTGACGGCCCTCACTCGCAATAGTAGCGCTTGGAAATGGACACAGCAATGTCAAAAGGCATTCGACGAGTTCAATCGAATGCTGACCAATGCTGCGGTACTGGTTTTACCATATCCGACGAAACCCTATGAGGTCGTTACCGACGCCTCATTGATAGGGATTGGGGCTGTCCTCTTGCAAGAGGGGAGACAAGTGGCATTTGAAAGTCGGAAGCTCTCCCCGGCAGAGCAGCGCTATACGACGTCCGAACAGGAACTGTTCACGGTCGTTCATGCGCTACGAACATGGCGATGTTATCTGGAGGGTGCGGACTTTGTGGTTACGACCGACCACTGTCCAAATACCTTCTTCTCCACCCAAGCCACGCTTACTCGACGTCAAGGCCGATGGGCGGAACTCCTTAGCGGGTTCACTTTCGATATTCGATATCGAGCAGGTTCGACGAACCTGGCTGGCTCCCTCAGCAGACAGCCGATAGGGGCAGCAACACGGCTAGACGACACAGAGGATGCGGCAGCATTTTCTGCTTGCTTCAGTGTCCTAGCAACGGCTCGAGTAAGTGAGATTACCTTCAGTGGTTTTCTGAAGCGCATCCGCACAGGGTATCAAATTAACTCCTGGTTTCAGAACTCGCGAAACACGAAGGAACTCAAGTGGGAGCATGAGCTCTGGTGGCGTAAGAAGGAGATTGTTGTACCTCACCTGGGTAACCTGTGGAATGACATTCTGGAAGAAGTGCATGCCACTAAGTACGGAGGACACCTAGGGGTCAAGAAGACCAGGTGGGCCTTGAGTGATGTGTACTGGTGGCCGGGATTGGGCACTGAGGTCCAGCAATTCGTGGCGCGCTGCGATGCATGCGCATGAAATAAAACGGACACAAAGAAGCCTGGTGGTTTGCTTCAACCACTCGAAATCCCGAATGAACCTTGGGAGAGCGTATCATTGGATTTTATCACGGATCTCCCCAAGACTCGCGATGGCCATACATCGATCCTAGTGTTTGTGGATCGTTTGACAAAAATGGTGCATTTCGTGGCTACGACAACTGACGTATCTGCGGAGGATACGGCCAAATTCTTTGTGGCGCACGTTTTCCGCTCACATGGGTTACCACGTGTATTGGTGTCCGACCGGGATCCGCGCTTCACAAGCCGATTCTAGCAAGAAGTCACACGGACACTAGGAACGAAGCTTAAGATGGTCGGCATTACACCCACAAACAGATGGGCAGACGGAACGAACAAACCGGACACTTGAGCAGATGCTTCGTTCATTCATTGGCCCAACTCAGGATAATTGGGACGAGTTGTTGCCTGTCGTTGAATTCGCAGTGAACAATTCAGTTCATGAAGGTACACGTGAGAAACCTTTCATTCTGAACTGTGGTCGGCATCCCACAACACCTGGTACGCATGGGATCGGTGGATTGAAAATTCCAGCCGCTAAAAACTTTGTTGGCAAGCAGCAAGAAGCGCTTAAGTCTGCTCGCCATTGGCTGCAACTTTCACAGCAGCGACAAAAGTCTTACGCCGACATGAAACGCCGGGAAGTCTCATTTGAGGTCGGAGACAAAGTTTTGTTGAGCACGAAGAACATTCGTCTCAAAATCCCTGGAGCACGAAAGTTGTTCCTTCGATGGGTTGGGCCATTCGAGGTGATCAAGCGTGTTGGTGTGGTAGCTTACAAGCTTAAACTACCTGATACACTACAGATTCACAACGTCTTCCATGTATCTCTGTTGAACAAGTACGTTGCAAAGGGCAAGTACTTGCCGCCACCAACCATCGTCCTGGGGGAGGAACTGTTTTATGAAGTCGAATGAGTGCTGATGCATCGTGATCGACAGCGCGGCCGCAAGACAGTGCGAGAGTTCCTCATCAAGTGGAAAGGCTATGGGCCTGAACACAACTCATGGGAGCCAGAAGAGCATTTGACTGAAACTGCAGTTCAGTCATACATAGCAGACCTGGCTCGACGAGCTGCCGCACAGCCAGTGGATGGTGTTGACCCTGGTCGTAATGTGACACGGCGTGCTCGAAGCTCTCGTCCTCAGAAGCACCCTAAGGCAATGGGGACGTTGCCACCTAGGGGGGGAGGAGTGTAACGCGAGACCAAACTAGCCAACTAACTAACATTCCTAGTCAATGTCGAGAAGAGTCTCGACAAGGACATGAGACTACGGGAGTTGTGTTGGTTGGGTTGGGAAGGTTGAGTTGAAGAGGAAGATTGGTTGGGCACTTCCAACCCTCAACCTTGAGGCTTGGAAACTTCCAACCCATCAAAGTGGAGATTGGAAAGGTTGGATTTCCAACCAATCACAATTTGCCAATTGTTGTTACAATCCACACAAAGAACCTAACAACTATACAACACAATTAAGTTGGGTTTTCCAAACCAAACAAAGATGCCACCTAGGCTTCAAGCCTATGAGCTCCCCAACCATAGAAGCCATGGTTGGGAAGAGCCCCAAGGGGTATTGTGGAAGGGGTTAGAGCTAGCAAGCTTATTCCTCACTTCCCAACTCCAACACATCAATTTGGAAATGGGATTTCTCAAAGTCTTTTGGTTCTCCTAACAAACTCTCATACACAACTAAGGTTGTGGTTTCTTCAAAGCACATTCTACAAGAAGCTACCTACTTACTCAAGCTTCATCAACAACCATCTCAAGTTCTCCTCTCAAGCTCCTTATTATTACTTGAAGGCTAGAATATCCCTTTGTGGGATTAGTTCAATTTTGAAAGCCTTGTACTTTGATATTATATATAATTTCAAGGAGGATTCTTCATTAACACACGGTTACCCATTGTTATAAGGGCCGTGGTTGTTACATTGGTATCTAGAGCTAGGGTTATCCTAAGCCTAGTGGGGATTTTCCCCTAGAGATGTTCTTTTATATAGATCTTGGAGTTGTTGATTTCTCTTTAAGAAAGCATTCAAGACCTGGAAGCTTGAAGAGTTCAAGTTCTACTAGATCTATAACTGCAACTTTAAGCTACGAAGAGAGATTTATCTCTCTTGCCCACCTTTTGGTGGAAGACTCTCAACTGTTGAGTAGTGGAGTATAAACAAAGATCTGGAGGATTTGTTGAGGGTTATTCAAGTTCTCTTTACTGAGATTTGGTAGACCCTGGCCTTTCACTTCGGTGATTGGGAGTGTTGGCAACAAATCTGTTACCTTTGGTGAACTTGAATTATTATGTAGAAGAATTTTCTTTTATAAGAATATCTTGCTTTACCATTGAGGTGGTAAAAGGATTTTAACAGAATCAACCCATATCTTAAAAGTTCCCTTAATCCTTATGGCATCTGGCCAAGAGAAGGATATGGCAAGGGAAGAAGGGCCCACTGCACCTAATGAGGTGGTGAACAATGCTGCTGAGATTGACCTCAATCAAGATGAGGCAATGGTTGACATTGAGCTGGATGACATTGAGGACCTGGATCTTGGAGATGAGGATAACCATGTTGAAGCTGATAACCATGGTGATGCTGATAACGACGGAGAAGCTGATAACCATGGCGAAGAGGAAAACACCGGTGAAAAGGAGAACACTAGTGATGAAAACGACTTCACTGAGGGTGAAGGCATGAGTTATCCTATCTCCGAGGAGATTGTCAAGCTCCAGGCTCGAGTGTCGACCCAGAATATCACCATACTGCAGCAGCAGACGTCCATTGATGGACTCACGAGGCGTACTCAGAATCTTGAGGCTGCGTTGAGCATTGCCACGAAAGAGGTCCGTGAATTTCGTCGCAGCCTGGGTACTTAAAAACGCCAAATTGAGGAGCTTCAGGATACTTGCAACAATATGCAAGCGTCATTCAACAAGCTCCATGAGCAGTTAAGGGAGCTTAGGAGGGAGGGCATTTACCAGCCTCCTCCCGGGCGTAGGCCCGCTCCTGCTGCTCAGCCAGCACGTGCTCCGCCCGCACCTATGCCTGTAGGCGCTGCAACGGCTATGCACGAGCCACCTCCACCCGAGACCACACCCTTTGGATCCCTCTCGGCGCCTCTGCCTAAGTTTAACCATGGCAAGACGGAGGTGGAGCCTTGGCTTGACCTGGTGGATACCACCATGACCCTTGCGAACTCACCAGTTCGAGAGAGCGGCAGTGGCAGGAACAGCCTGCCGTGGTGAGGCGGAACTAAATGGGCGTGCTCTGGTCCCCGGCGATGGTGGAAGGTGTGGTGGGGAGAGGGACCAAAAGGGGTTCTGAGCGCAGCACAGGGCACATGGCGTGTTCAGTTCGGAAATTCGAGAAATCGACAGTGGCAGGTGGAACAGCCCGTCGTGGTCAGGGGGGATTGGAATGAGTGTGGGCCATCATGGCATGGGTGGCGGTGGGGAAGAGGAAAAAGAGAGGCGAGGACGGAGAGGACAGGAGGTAGGGTGGGATGGTAATGGGGAAACAGAGCGGTGTAAACCAGGGCCTGATTTGGGAGGCCTGCTTAGGGTGACCTGTTTCGGAAGACATGGTTCGAGTGACATGATTCGTTTGACCTGGTTCAAGTGACCTGGCCCGGGTGAACATTCGGATGATCTGGTTCGGGCAACATGGTTTGGGTGACCTGGTTCAGCTAAGTGGTGAGCGAATGATGGCGTGAGAAAGGTTGAGTCAGGCGGGGGGTGGGTGGGAGAGGGCGAGCAGGCGGGAGCACGAAGAAAGGGGAAGCGAGCCAAGCCAGATGCTTCTCCTCCTAATCGCCTTGAGAAATGGCGGCAGGCAAACGCATCGTGCGTCCCGCCGCCGTGCCGCCTTCTTGCACACATGGCTTATCCCCACCAACCACACACGCCCTGAGCCATCACGTTACAAAAGCGCCTATTGAGAATCAGCGCGCACAAACACCACATTTGAGGCGCGACTGCTGGTGCCTTACTCGGTTGGGACGGCGATGCTGAACGTCCCCTTCACGTTCGCATCCGTAATCACCGCGCTGTAAAAAACTGCATTGGGGGGGGTCGAAGCGACAGTGAGAAGGTGAAGAGAATGAAGGATGGGTGAGGGACAGCCACGCAAAACGCTCCGCAGGATGCAGATCCGGCCATTTGACAAAGCTCTTTCACGCTAAGCGAGCAGAGCAAAGGAGCCGCGCGGAGCGCTTTAGGGAAGTCACTGGCAGGCGGCATTGACTGGCGGCATATGAGGTGACTGTTGAGCTGACTCAAAAGACACGTTGCTACAACTTGAATGTCGGTTAGGGAAGGGCAGGGATGCACTGACTGGCGGCAGGCATGGGCGGCGGGAAGAACAGCGCCTGGAGGGTCTTAAAAAACGCGGCCTTGTTTCACGGCGCGATGCTTGGCGGCCTCCAAGCTAAGCGCCACCTCTGCTCCCGGAAGCGCCAATGAAACCAGCACGCCTGCAGGCAGGGAAGAGACAAGGGAGAACGAGGGCCATGAGAACGACTTAGTTACAATAAACACATACAGTCGAAATAATGAATGGCATATTGAAAACGATAGTGTGCGTGTTCAGCGGTTGAAAAACGGCGGCGCATGGGCTCATGAGAAACCGCACCCGCAATTATGAGGAGGCACGTCAGAATACGGGGGAGAGCCATTGCTGGAGTTTGACGGGGCCTTTGTGAACCCTACCAGAAAGCACTATCACTGATCTAGAAGGAAATCGCCGTTACCAGTGGCTTCCGATGTCAAAGAAGAAAGAGCTGAGGACGACGAGGAAGGGCTGATGATGGGAGAAGAATGTGGCATGACGGTTGTCATAAACGATTCGAGGATGAAAGGCTTGCCTCGGGGGGTGGAAGGGACCGAGCCGCGGTGACCTGCTTCTGTGAGGTAATCGCGGAGGCAGGTCGTCGTCGCAAGACTCGCGTGCTGGCTCGTCGACCTTTGGCCCAATATTTACAGCAATAATTCATGTGTTTGCATTTCCCTCCAGTCATAGGCGTTCGAACCAATCTAGCAAAAAAACACAGCAGCTCACAGCAGTCGCACTAGAAAAGGATAGCGATTCAGCTACGGGAATGGTTCTAGTGAAGAAAATTGGCACTACTTCGGTCTTGTTTCAGAAGACTTGTGAGGGGAGGAGCTCCAACCACTTGATTGGATGGTGGTGAGTTCGTTTTTTGCTCGAAACCTTACTGGAACGTAAAGAGATGTAAACAAGCCGTTCTAGCACGCTGAACACCGTACACCGCTGAATAGAATGCCAAAGTAAGCGGGGCACCAATTATTCCGTCTTGTCATCTGACAGCGCCGTCGCACTTGAAGAACGATAGTTCGGATCGGATTCGTTCGAAATGCCATGCTGGCAGCTCGGCTGGCAGCTTTCTGGAGTCTGAACGACTCCGCGAAGTCTGACGACCTGTCTTGCAGGCGTGTACAGAACTCGTAAAAAAGGGGTGGTAACGCATGATGACGGTTTCGCACGTGGGCAGAACACGATAGTGTACGATCATATCATTCAATAGTAGCTCCAGCACGAACTCCATGTGTAAAGAAAATGATGTCAAATATGGTGTTTGTGGGTATTTTTTAGATGTTGTAAAACTGGACGAAAGAATTGCGACCATCAACTTGGGCTGAGCTGAGAGAATTGGGTCATCATCTGGACGAGGGCCTTCTGGTGTTGATACGTTTGTGTCAAGTGAGAAGGTTTGCAAGGCGATTTCGTGGTCAGTTGTGACTGGTTGTGTGGGTTGGGAGGAGGTTCTTGCGTCGCCACTTTGCAGAGTTTGGATTCCTTGCTCCAATGTTGATGGTCGCTGCATCAGTTGATCCAATGTTGATGGTCGGTGCATTAGTTGTTCCAATGTGACGGTGCCGATCGTGGCTGGTTGGGCGTTTTTAGTCGTTAGATATATCATACCTCATGATCAGCTGGCCATATTGACGCGAGAGCGTGTCCCGGTTGCCATTTTTAGTTTGTGAGAGGTTTAGACAGTGGGGGTGCGAATAATTCATGAGCTGCTCTCATGCCATGTTACAATTCTTAGGAGTTTAAGTCAGATCTAGCTTAGGGTTGATCACATGTATTGCACATCGAAAGTGTTGATTGCAATACCTATCAAAAGTGATTACAAGTAAATCATTATAATGAAACAACATAAGTGATTAAAATTATTATACGGCTTCTATTTGATTACAATGGAATTCGAAAAGTCTTACCTGTGTGGCTCTGGAGCTTGTTTCATACCAGTTCCAGCCTACCTTTTGAACGTTTTTGTGAGCAATCGCCTTCAGTCACAACTGGCTTTTGTCAGAGGTCCACTGGTTATCCCCGATTGATCCTAGGGAAGGGTTACAGGCACGTTGGCCTGGGGGGTTATGGGCGCACTCACCCGCTACACAAACAAGCCCTTTTATCCCAGTGGAAGGTGGCTGGGATTCTGACATGGTATTAGAGCGAAGGTCTCGGGTTCGAATCCCAGTGTGTGCACTTCGGGCATCCCAGTGCGGGGGGGTGTCAGGGGTCCACTGGTTATCCCCGATTGATCCTAGGGAAGGGTTACAGGCACGTTGGCCTGGGGGGTTATGGGCGCACTCACCCGCTACACAAACAAGCCCTTTTATCCCAGTGGTTAGTGGCTGGGATTCTGACAGCTTTGACCCTTGGAGTCTTCGTGCCTCTCTGCTCTACTCGGTAGGGTGTGGTGTGATTCTGTTATGTTCCGAAATGTTAACTCTAGTTCCTTATAGTGACACGTTCTGCTATGACCCGATGCCCTGACTAACGTTGTTGTCACATATAACAGTGCAATACGCTTGTGTTTGAGGTGCAAATTCGCATAGATGTTCTGAGCACATTCGAACGCGACTTTAATCAGGCCACATTTCGGTGCCTCCCGATATAATTATGAGCACGATAAAAGCTACAATTGCGATCATAGCGTACAATTTTGGGTCCGTCCAGCATACTTCTCCACATGTACATTACCCCATACCAAATAATCCGAAACATTCCATGGTGGCTTTGCACATAGTAACTAAGATAGAATGTTCAAATTCGCCTGTCTCGATTACATTTAAGACTCTTTATATACCCCCATCTTGTATCGAACCCTTCATCTAAGTCCACTAGAGTAGATGTTCGGCCGTTTTAAAGCCTAAGTGTTATGAGCTGTAAAATGAAAGAGTACGCATAATGCAATGAAGCCTAGCACAGATATAGCGAAAGGCTAGCTAGGTGGGGTCCACGGGGCCGCGATGGTTGGGTGCTGGTTCGAGGTTGCAAAGCCCGAGGGCGACGTGAGGTACATTTGGGAGGCGAGGTCTGTCAGATGCCAACCACTATACCATTGGGGTAAAAGGGCTTGCTAAGTAGCGGGTCAGTGCGCCCATAAGCCCCCAGGCCAACATGCCTGTAACCCTTCCCTGTGATCATTCGGGGATCACCAGTGGACCTCTGACACCCCCCCACACTGGGATGCCCGAAGTGCACACACTGGGATTCGAACCCGAGATCTTCGCTCTGATACCATGTCAGAATCCCAACCACTAGACCATTGGGATAAAAGGGCTAGTTAAGTAGCGGGTCAGTGCGCCCATAACCCCCCAGGCCAACATACCTGTAACCCTTCCCAAGGATCAATCGGGGATCACCAGTGGACCTCTGACACCCCCCCCCACACTGGGATGCCCGAAGTGCACACACTGGGATTCGAACCCGAGACCTTCGCTCTGATAGCATGTGAGAATCCCACTCACTAACCATTGGGATAGAAGGGCTTGTTAAGTAGCGGGTCAGTGCGCCCATAACCCCCGAGACCAACATGCATGTAACCCTTCCCTAGGATCATTCGGGGATCACCAGTGGACCTCTGACAAGGTCGTCGGACCAAGCCTGGTCTTTCAAAAGTTGAGTTGTACGCGTATGAAGTGACATAGTAAGGAAGCGGAAAAAATCATTACATTACCTGCCCTTTAAGAAAGGCGGTCGATATCCATGGCATGTCGGCGGGTCAAGTAATCCCGCAATACCAAATGTCCCTGTAGCAAGTCAGAAGTGACACACGTGTCGTCTTTGCTCGTGCGATCTGGCCATCGTAGGAGGAATTCGACGTAGCGTCATGTTGTCGTCTGGTCTACGCGATGATTCAATATCTTCCACGGCTAGAGTGTTGGTTCTGCCACGGGCCGAACGCTTGGTGCGAGATTGGGGTGGGCGATATCAG